TACCTACTTGTAGCATTAAAAACCTTTTTGCACCACAACCTTTTGTTCACAGTGTTTGAAGGGAATCTGTCCATTATTTTGTGCTCTCTAGGATCCTTGATTACCCCACAAGCAGGCACAGAGCAATATTTTTTGGACATTTTGATAATATCAATTCAAGCACAAACTGTTTTGGCGCGTGACAAAACGGATTAATTACAGATTCCTGTAACTCCCGAAGGGGGTGACATCTTTTGATATTTTTCCTTTTGACAAGTCGGACGATTGTAACCAATTGGAGAGACTTTAATAGTGAATCAACGAAGACGACGTGTCAAAATATCAAGTGACAGAATGGTTACTAAAGTAAATTACTAAAATCCAGGTTTACAATTCAAAACTCACATTGTGGGCATTTACGAAGGTTTACTGCCAAGTGGTTTTTTTCATTGTCCGATGACGTAATTACTAATTAAACAAGAAAAAAATTATATTATAGACCTAAGAAAATTTGACATTTTATTAACTTCAAAGATGTAATTCAAATATGTGATGCAATAGTAATTAATAACATTATATTTTAATCAAGCAAATGTTTTAAAGATACCTGGTTGCAGATAACGCGCCTTTTCTTATAAAACAATATTGTGAAGAGGAAAGAAAACTGAAAAGAGAGAGCAGTTCATTAGAGAAGCTTCTATGTGATTTATCAACAAGAGGTTAAAAATCAACCCAGATTTTAACTGTTTCCATAACAAATATAAAATATTTCCTATTAGTGTAGTTGCTACGGTTGAAAATTCAAAATAATTTAAAACGAGATGAGTTTATTAGTTAACTAAGAAGTAACTTTTCAGCAGCAGGGTTCGCTCTAAGAAGAAATAAAGTAATAGAAACTCACAACGCTGTGTGAGAAAAGTGTATATTTTGCACGTGGAACGTTTGAAAAAGCGTGTCAAAAATAGGTAAGCATCGCTTATAATCAAGGTGAAACTATGTTTAGAAGCAAATAGAGATTTTTTGAACATATTGTTGAGTGTAATGAAGTACTCGTCGATGTTATATTACAATTACATTCTCAAAATTTATAAATAAAAGTAGCCATTCTGCGTTTTAATATTTTGATTGTTTTTACTTCTCCAGAGTAAGCTAAGGAAGTATTGTAATAGGGTGCATTGGAGGAATGCACTCTATTACATCCTTTCATATTTTTTCAACGTATGACACCTGGTGTACGATAAAATAGGCTTCCTATTTCGCTCGGTCTGGTTGTCTGTTTAATAATCTCCGAAACTACCGGATCGATTGTTGTAAAATTTTACATGTGTTATGAATATAGTGCAGATGGTAAAACGCTTACCAAACTTCGCCTAACAATCCCCACCAATAATGTGATGATGTCATCTAAAAATTGTACATTGTACATGTGTTTTAAATTTTACAAAATAACATATTCCTGTACCTCTAGTTTATGTGCAAAATATGATGAGTCTATACTGTGGTTCATCAGTGCATTCACATTTTTTTTAGAATTGCTTATTGTTTAGTCAAAGAAGTTAATGAATGAATCAATTTATTTTCTCACACGATTTTCCCAAAAATTTAGGAACATAATGCTCCTATTATTAGTATTACACTGTACCTATCCAAATTGTCCTTGTAAAAATACATATTGATGATGTGCAAGCAAATTTTGAAATAGAAATTCTAACTTGAAATTGACTCATACCAAGTTTCTTTATACTACTTTGATCTTGTCTGCTGTGTGCTAACCCGCCCTGATAAATATTACGAGACAGAACCTTTTGGATTTCGACAACAAGTGGTTTGTTTAAGTAAATGTAAACATTTTAAGTTATCAACTAAACTATTTGATATGCTACACCTATAACCCCTAGAAATGTGTTTTCTAGGGGCTATAGCTACACCTATTGTCGATGCACAATGAAAAAAAAGTCACTTGGCAGTTGACATAAAACTGGTACACGTAAAATTTTATGTTTAACAAGCTGCTTAATTGTTACTCAAAATGAATTAAAAATTTAATTTAATTTATCGTCTTGACAGTTTCAAATTTTGCAATAGAAATCAAAAAATGCCTTTAACTGGTTTTCAGAAGCATATAATTTGACAAAGACTTGACGAGGGTGACAAACTGCATGTCAGCAAAAGTACATTTTATTGGCTAACAGAAAAATTGAAATTTTTGGGTCCATAATACGGAAACCAGGCACAAAACGTCCAAAAATTACCACTGAAAATGAAGATCATGAACTCGTTCCATACCCTTGTTCCATAGTCACTCTGACGTTTATTTTTCTCATGCGTTATCCACCTGTCATGGTATATAACCTGGTGTAAGAAAACAAATTTACGCAGGATAAATTTTTAGTCTATCCGTATTTTCTTTTGCCAGCTTTGTACCAGCTTCATATGTCCGCCGACTGCAAGTATGGATTTTGAATTGTAAATGTGGATTTTAATAATTTATTTTAGTAACTATTCTGTCACTTGATAATCTGACATTTCAAATCACGTTGACGTTATCACGTTAACGTTGTTAAGATTGTTTTCAAGAACGCAAAAGAAAAGATATTACGTACAAGCTCACTCACTGCTCAATCCTTACCTACGATAATTATCAGCAAGTATGAATTATGAATAACCCAAATTGTTGGCGAGGAAATAATTCTTGTCTGTGGAGTTTTAAAATTCAAATGTCAACTTTAATCACAGTAGCAGGCTGACAATCTAAGAAAGGTGAAATTAGTGGTATTCCGTTACCAACATATTTCTTTTCCTGATTTTTTCATTGTGTGTCGACTAGAAATAACTAAAGACATAATTTTTTTTTTGACCCTTTCTTAATCATCAAATTAAATTCATTTCAGGAGAACACGGATTTAAAAATATTTCCAAATCTACATTTTTGCATACGGAGAAAAAATTTCGTATACACGCATATGGCCATCATGGTGCCCTTTTCAGTGATACATTACTACATACCGGGACATTTTTTAAATTATTCTTCTTTCTTTTAAAACTATTTGTTTCCACAAATTCGAAAGATCAGATACAAGAACTGTTACAAAACTAGTTTCGTTACGAAATTGATAATTGATAACAAATGGTACTGGAGAATTGGTTTCTTTGCACCACTACCCTTATCAGGCCGTCGTATACCTCATTTGTCTTCTCTTGTACGTCTTTCTTGACCTCTGCGGTACTTAATAACATCGCATGACGGTAATTTTTTTTATCGCCAACCGGCAATAGAGACATGCATTACCATAGCGATTTTCGGAAGTAAACAAACACTTTATTTTACTGTAAAAATCAAGCACTTTACCTGCCGCTCATAATTGTCAACATAACCATGACTGTATGACATTCTGTCTGTCACTGTCACGGTTCCAACGAGAAAAGTTCTGATACGATTGCAGAGTCCTATGTTGAGGAATCTGTGCTCAATAAAAAGAAAATCGCAGAGACAATTTTAGGTGAAAGTCAAACTGACAACATATTTGTTGCCAATGATAATTTTACTCAAGATTCACCTAATGAAATTATTAGCACGGCTAATCCTCAAACATTTTCACTTCAAACTCCTTCGACTTCAGGACTCAATTTTTATTATCCGTCAGGTTGTACATTTACATTTAATATAACAAGTAATAAGTAGATATCTTTTGACTCATTGTTATTATACGTTTACTGTCATAATAAAATGTGATAAGTCATAACATTTCCATTATTTTTAATTATAAATTTTTAAGGTTGGCGATAAAAATTTGTATGCACCACGTCAGTAAAGGATCTTTATCGAACTCGCCTGTTACTCGCCTCGCTCGCTTCGCTCGCTCGGCTCATAATCTCAGACTCGTTCGATAAAGAATCACTTTACTGACTTGGTACATAAATAACTATTGCAGTTTCTAGAATTGCAGTAAATCAATGTTCTCTTTCCCCCCTTGTAAAATCACACTCAAAACATGTGAATCAGAAAAATCACATTCAAAACGCTGTTAATTAGCTCTCAAACAAAACAAAGCAATAGAAAAAAAAACACCAATTGAGAAAGCTCTAAAAAAACTAAAACGTTACACGCCCCATCACGACTTGATTTGACGATTTAGTCAACCCAGTTATCAACAAATGTAACATAAATGATGGGATTCTAAGCTGCCAAAAAAAAAACAGATCAAAAGAAAGCAGTTCTTTGGATCCCTATCAAAACACATAATCGAACGTTATCAGGACCTTTGTTATACTACATTATCTGAACCTTTTAATAAAAAGTACCGCCATAATGAATTTGAAACTTGTTGGTTTGCTGTTGCCTTTGTCAGTTGTCTTGTATTTCGAAGACGAGTCGTTCGTTACGAAGAAAAAATGTTTCGAAGAGAGTAAGTACAACGAAGGGACGAAACGTATTTCGTATCACTGCTCAAAGTTTATTCCTCTCATTTTTCATATATTTTTTACTTCAGTTTTGGTATATTCATATAATTTTCGTTGGAAAACTTTTGAAAGTTATTTCTTTAAGATCTCAGAAAACTGTTTAATGGAAAAAATGAAATATAAAAATGTCATTCAACAGTACAAAATGGTGTTGCTGTCATTTAAAGAAATTACGCATGATTTAGACACTTACGCATGATTTAGACACATGTTGTGAAAGTTGTATCTTTGTTTTTTTTTTATTTTTTATTTGTTATACCTAGAACTGAATAAATACACTTATATACACCGTGTGATAATTAATTATCTTATTATTCCCATATATCTAACGTGCGATCCTTTAAATTTCGAATCTACGTTGGCTTTTGAATAAAAAGTCATGTCGTTGATAGCACCAATTTTCAATGTGTTCACTTTTTTCGGTTAGATATTACTGTACCCCATTTAACTTTACCTAACGTTTCTAAACTACCAGCTCATCTAGGTTAGACATTTAAAGTATCGCACCTTAGTTGTAATCTCTTTCTGCTGTTCATTTTAAGAGCCAGTTTTATGTTTAGGTGCAGTGCATGTGTGAAGCTCTTCATCAGCGAGGTGATATAGAACGACTGGCAGCATTTCTGTGGTCCTTGCCGCCGTCGGAACTACTGAGAGGGAATGAGAGTATTCTTAGGGCACGGGCTGCTGTTGCATTCTACAGAGGATCATATCACGAATTATATTCTATTTTAGAATCACATTCGTTTAATCAAAGGTGGCATGCCGAATTACAAACGTTATGGTTTAAAGCTCATTATAATGAAGCAGAAAAAGTGAGAGGCAGACCGTTAGGTATGTTAAACGGAATTAACTTTTATTCCTAGTGTTTGCTTGTTTTTTTACGCTAAAGGTGCAGTTGATAAATACAGACTAAGAAAAAAGTATCCCTTACCGAAAACTATTTGGGATGGAGAAGAAACCGTGTATTGCTTTAAAGAACGTAGTCGAAATGCTTTAAAAGAGTGCTATTCTAGAAATAGATATCCAACTCCAGACGAGAAGAGAGCTTTAGCGAAAAGAACTGGATTAACGTTAACTCAAGTTTCAAACTGGTTCAAAAACAGAAGACAACGAGACAGGACGCCACAACCAAGGCCGTTAGTAGCTGATCTATCTACTGTAATGTTGGAATCATATTTTTTTCTGTAGATAAATGTTTAGTGTATAATGATCTAACAAGGGGGATGAACTCTAAATATACCCCCACCAACTGTAAAATTAAGCGGCATTTGGTTTTAATTGTCAACTATTCTTTTGAAATTAAGCAAGAGCAGATACCCACATATATATTAAAATATAAAATTAGTTTAAAATCTGAACATTAGTAGGTGTTTATTTATTTTAAACCGTCGAAAAAAAAACTGTAGATGGGTATGAGTGATTTTGAAAAATATGGTACACTTTTTTCATGTCAGATGTTAAATATGTTACACATTTTTCGTCGTATCGCAGCTGTTGCTTCAGGCCTCGTTTTACTTGCCACCTAAAGAATATCTCTGTATGAAAGCATAACTCCTCCATGTTTAAGAATCTTTTTTGGTATAATATGGCCTGTTTTCAAATTTTTGAGCAACACATATTGCATCCGCTTACACTGATTCAACTATGTATATGACATAAAAGCAACTTATAAGAAGCACATTTTTCGGGGAATTACAGTTATTATGTAACGAGTGTAAAGCGAAGGTGATGTTGAATAAGATAAAATAAAATTACAAAATCAAATTTCATTTAGAAGTAAAATCGCTTTAGAGTTTAAAAAAACTGAAACTTCACATATGTCTGTCACAAAATAACGTATATAAAATGCAAAATACCGTGAATAGAAAAAGTGTAAAGATTCTGGCAATTTTGATTAAATTAGAGGCACAGTTGCATTAGAAAATTAAATATCTATCAGCAAAGGCGTGTAAATGTTTATGTGATCACAATGCAAAGCCAACAAAATTGCCAAGAAAAATGTAAAGCAAAATTAAATAATCATCATGAGGCAAATTTGGCTCCTCACTAAACAAAATGTTGTTGATGAAATTGAAATCATTTTGCAGCTGCTATATCCGAACATGTAAAATGCTAATCTTCAAAGAAAGTCAGTCAGATTTTCTAAAACAGTTTCTAAAACTCAGATTTCGTTGGCCAAATGTGTAACAATTAAAATACTTCTCCGTCTACTCACAGGGCAATCGTTTTCTAAACTCATTTCGAGTCTTTTGAAAATTTTATCTGTTGGATATCTACGGTTTGGATATCTCTGGGGTACAAATTTGCCGCCACTAAAGCATTTTTTGATACTCTCCATAAATTAAGACCATGTCCGTTTTCTCTGTGTTGGTAAATGAATATCTTGGCAATTTTGGAAATAATTTTCAACTGCGCAAAATTGATAGTGACATAAGAATGCAAACTTGGATTCATGATATTTTTTTAAATTCTACTATGAATCAAGGAACAGAAGAAAAATGGGGTGCCTATCCGAATAGGTCAAATTCGCCATTTACGCTGAATCAGCCTGTATTACACTATAATGTCTATTGTAGAAGCAGAAAAGTGTATTTTGTGAAGTACTGAGTCAATAAAATAATATAGGTTTGTCTCTTAATTTTTAAACTGACGTTTTATTAAATTAATACTAGTTTATCATTATTAGATTTTGTCGTCGCTTAGAAAGGTACATGGTACAGTTGGCTCCAGAAAAAACTGGAATGAAATTTTTGTACAATGTAAAATGTACCTGTCCCTTACTTGTCAATTTGTTAAATATTTGTCAACATTTTGACACAAAATTTTTGGAGTATCATTATTGTTCTAACCTGTTTCAGAATAGACCGGTTTAAATTAGAAAAATTCACAGAGTAATCTGTCATGCTAACTTTGACAGTTTCCGTTTTTTCTGGAGCCAATTGTACATTAGAACGGCTGAGAATAGGCTCATAAACAAGAGAGTTAAAAAAAACATAAAAAATAACGATAAACTATTAAGTATGACAACAACAGTACCAGTTTCAATGTGCGCTCGCCCCATTTTGTTGGAAGCGGGGATAATAGAGTCCAAATGTTTGTCCATATCGTTGTGTAGTTATTGTCAGAAAATATGGGCACTATTATTAAAGCACATGTGTGACATAGTAATCCAAATCCCCACTTTAACTATATACTGTATAATGGTGATCTATGTTCAAAAGGGCACACTTTGGGTAATTGTAACAGGCGCATACTTGTTCACTCACGCGGTCACTTTTTGACTCTCACTAACGGGTAAATTGGCTCCCGACAGATATACTAGTTGGCTCCCACCTCCGGCTGGGTAAGAAAAAGAAGACAAGGGATTATACAGAATTATGGTTATTTTCACAAAACCTTAATAAAATGAAAACATAAAAATTTTTGTTTCAGGTTAGAGTTATTATTTCATTAAAGTTCATTACGACAATAAAACAGACACAAAACATGTTTGAATGATTACACATAATAATTTAAATAAATTATTATTATTGCTATTGTTCTTATTTGGCTGCAAGGTTAAAGTATATGATTTAGAGATTTTACCCTTTGTATGTAGTACTTTACCGCCACCAATTTCTAGGAACAGAAATTTTATGAATCGGCAGATACCTTTTGCTTTTTAAAACATGATATTTCTGTAATTCATACAAACATAACACCCCTGATAGCAGAAAATAAAATGTCTACAGATCATCCCCTCACCTCAGGAGCCAATTTACCTAAACCCATTTTTCGTTGGAAGGTCAAAATGTGACAGCGGGGGCCACCTCGTATGTACATATTGTAACTCTAAAAATAGGACAATGCTTCATTAATCATTAATTCATTTGAGAACAAAATAAAGCTCAGCAAGTTTTCATAGCCTAATGGTACAACTGTTTAAACTTAAAAGTGGGTATGAACTGAGATATGTCTTTTCTAAATTAAACCATAAGATAATTCATTTTGTTCATTTATACTGTATTCCTAATAAATAAATTTACTCACAAGTGGTCAGCAATGTGATATTTTCAAACTTTTTAAAAATCCGGAAGTGAGCTATTTCTGACTTTACTTAAATCGTAATGTGAATAAATGTGAATTTTTGTATTTTTTAACACCAGCTAAGTTACTCGTATTATACGGAAAACAAGGTGTTAAATTAAGACAGTTTTATTTACTTATTTAAAAGGTATTTAAAACTTTGAACTATTTTGGAAAGGAATGAAATACTTTCCACCTATGTATAATAGTACAATACCCTATTTCTGAGGCTTTTCCCTGAGACTGAATGAGGCATAAACATTTATTATCAATATTTTTTTTTGAAGTAAAATATGGATACCTGAAATAAATCTAACAACAATTTCTCACCATAATTACTGCCTACGGCATGAACTAAAATCGCAAATTTTTACTTTTAAATCTGTATTTTTGTAGTTTTGAGAATACACGTTTTTCGATAAAAGCAAGTATAAAATGACTGTCTACAATCTACTTCTCCAAAAACTCTAGAGGTTGTGTTAATTCCAGTGGCGTAGCTAGCCCTCAGGTCCTGGATCAAAATTTCTTGGTTCACATTTTTTGGAGGGCTGCTTTCTCAGAAAACAGACAAACACACTTGCATAAACAAGATTATTAAAAAAAAACAAAAATTCTAATTAAATACTAAATAGGTATTCTTTTGTTTTTTTTTAGCAAACATATTTGTTATACAATCCACAGCTGAAGATCTTAATTTCTTAAATTCTTCTTTTTCTATGGACAGTATAGATAAATCTGATAGGCGTTCTTGACTCATAAAAATTCTGAGATTATTTTTTATCAATTTTAATTTTTAAAAGTTCCTTTCAGCTGATGCGGTTGTAACCGGAAGGGTCAAAAATATAAAGCAAGCTGTTACAATTTTTGAGAAACTGCAAGCACTTTTGAAACTTATTAATGATAATTCTAATTCCTTAATGGTATGAATGCTAACAAATTTCTGATTTTAAACAACTTTTCAACGCAATCAATTGAGCATAGAGATCAACTGTCAAATCATTATGGTATTTACTAGCCAATTTTGCTGCTTCCGTTTTTATTACGGTTGCGGTTGGTGTACCTATAACTGTTGCTTATGACCCAAATCGTTGTAGAACCCAGTATGTCAATTGTATTCAAAAGAATATAACAAAGATTGATTTGTTTTTCTCTGCCCAACTGAAACTGAAATTAGGAAACTAGGTTCAGCATCGTTAACAAAGCAACAAACTATCAGGAATTGTACAAATGCATCTAGGACACTGGGTTTTAATTTTATTCAAATGTCTCAACAATCGAGATTTGTTTCTTAACAGTATATTGGCTTGAAAATAAAATTTAAGAAATGCTCCATTTAAATTGTATGTGTTTTCCAAAAATATTTTGTTACTTGACGTTCCGTGAGGCGACAATGATAGGAACGTTTAAGTCATTAAATAGATACTTACTGAAGGAACGACGAATTGGACTTCCGGTGAACAGGTGGAGAGGAATTTAATCAATGGTAGCAGTGATAGTTTGAGACTAGCAATGTTTCTGTTAAAAAAAAACATTATTCATAAAGGAAGGAGATATTTTGATAAATCATTCATGTACCTGGCTAAAATAATCCCAAGGAACATGTAACAACGAACCATTCTTAGACGGTAGAAGATATTAACAATACATATATACTAAACGTTTTTAAACTTCCTCAGTTGTTATTAAAAAATCTTGCATTTACTGAGTATCCCGGAGCGGACCCCTACGATCACCCTGTTTCTTTGGCCATGATCAAGCTCCGTGTCGTCAACCTCTTGAAACACAATGTCTATCTGTAACCTTCTGACTTGAGAACAAAAAGCCCAGGTACCACGGTCCACTGTTTTGTATTCAACTGTCATTCATCTATTCCAGGAGTATAATAATTAAATATTATTGATTTCATCCTAGTAATATTAAAACAATGAGTTCTAAACATCGACGAACAAGTTCACTTGATTAAGTATCACGATCACGTAATCTATTGCCTGCACAGTACTTTCTAGGAAGAAATATCTACAAAGTTGATAATCTTTATGGTCAAACCCAGTGGTAAAATACGATCAAATTCTTTCATATTGGGAAAGTTTTAAAGTTAATTTTTGACAAAAAGAAACTACATCATTTTATTATGTGATGTAGGTAAACTGTGGACAATGAATATTGTGGTCGTTTATCTCTGTACATTTTTATTATCCGAGCGAAGTTTATGTGAGAACCTGAAAATTATTTTTTTTTGCTATGGAACTTTTACAGAACACCAACTAAAATTTATTTATTTATTCCCTCCAAAAATTTAAACTATAGAATAAAATTTCATGATTTGTCTTAGAAAATACGTAAAAAAATTCATACTATAAATAACTTTTAGCAAGTGTTTATACTTTAGTTAAAAAAAGATTGGGTTAGGTAGGTAAAAGTATAAAACATGTTGCACATCTTAAAAACCATTTATTGAAAAAAAAAATGTATAGATCTTGCATGGTTAAAAATGTATACTACTTTTTTAATTTTACGTTTGTTTGTTTTTGAGGTTCAACGTTATCGTTAGTTTTTTAAGCGGTAGATCTCGAAAAATTCTTTAAGGAAACAACAAAGGAACCGGTGTATGTGTTTTACAAAAAGTAACAAATTGGCCATTTTAGCCAACGCATATTAGTCTTCTCTTAAAAGAAGAAAAAGAAAGAGCTCAGACATGAGTTATTAATACAAATAATTGTAATAATTGTATCCTGAATTATTACCACGTGCGAAAGATTTATGTAATAAATAACAGTTATAAAATTAAAAAAACAACAATTCGTCCACTGAGTTTAATATCTTTATATCTGAGTGACAAAATGCTCACTGAATGTGTAAACCTAAAATTCACACATTGTTAAGAGTGGGTGAAATAACTATTTCACACACTGCCGCAGAACAAAAATAAGTTTGGGGATAAATTGGTAGCTGTACATTCTAATTATATTTTTTTTAAGTTATTTTATTGACTAATAGTTTTTTAATGAATTACAGGGAACTAATTTTGGGTAACATGTCACTCAACCAAAGTAGCATGATGTCAGCCCATCAAGGAAGTCTCGATATGGTTGCGTTTCAAGCTGCTTCAAAACTTTTTGACTCCAACTGCGGTGTTACTTCCTGTTACTCCGACTATCAAATACCGTAATTTGGTGTATTCATACCTAAAAAGCATTATACACCAGTCAGCACTAAAGTGACAACATCTTTCCTTCACTTTGTTAAGGACACTCTCTTGTAAATTTTTGTAAATACACAAAATAAAATAGACGTCTTAAAAATTGTTTATTGTTTAGTTAATGTGCCTCAGTCTCGTGTTAACATCATTTTTTCGTATGGCTTTTCTTGAATGTGAGTGTTCAAATCGAATCTAAAACAAATACAAAAATTAGTATAACATAATTATGTATACTTACATTTAGATACGTTATACAAATAAGTTGTAAATGAAAGGTTAAAGTATACAGATATTTTAATTTTAACAACAAATATTTTGAACAACCTGACTTTCACGTACGAAACGATTTAGTATAGGACCTAATATACTATATTTCGAAAATATAGTGGTATAAAATCACATCAAACTCGACTAGCTGTAAAATGTGGAACTCTCGTTTTATTTCAGTAACGAAACGATGCTACAGCAGAATTACCCTATGGCAAGTTCATGCAATATTTCGTGTAATAATGTTGAACCAACTTAATAAATTCTGTTTTTCGCAGTAGACGTGAAGTTCTCCCTACGATCGTGTGAGAACATGTCGCAATTTTGCAATAAATCGACGCAAAACAATAATAATTTATCTTACTTTACTTTATTATCCCGTTTTTGCGGATAAAGTGGTACTTTATTCCCTAGGAAATACAGTAAGAACAATTTAAGTGAAATACCACATTTTAATCTTTTATTTATTAATATTAACATTTACATTAATAGTAACCAAGAATTCCTGATTTCTATGGCCAACAACTGAAACCTTGCTGGTCTTGCTAGTTGAAGTTTCGTCTCTGCTGGCTGAAGCGTCATTTTCATTATTTTTATTATCGGTCACAATCTGTTTTGCAATTAGCGTTTTATTTTTAGCTGCAGATTCTATGTAGGCTTCTGCAACATTTTCATAATTCCAATCGCCTAGACGCTTTACAGTCGTTAAATCAATACCACTGTCTGCCAACACAGTGGCCGATGTTCTTCTCATGCAGTGCTCAGTATATAATTTAGCATCAGGAAGCTTCAAACAGCTTGCAATAATCGGTGGTATTTTGCCTAAAGTATTTTTTCCCATTGGTTAAGTTGAATACTTTCCGTTTTTATGGAAAATAAAAAAGCGTCTATGGTTGGTGTGTGATGGTCTGATGGTCTAAGAGATACTTCCGATACAGCTCAATTAATTTCAGCAATGATTTTGTCCTTAGGATTTACAATATGAAAAGACCAATCAATCCTGGTTTTTGTACCTTTGACGTTAAGAATTATAACCGCTCCTTCATCTGGAATATTATCTACTGATAAATTTAAGAGTTCTTGACACCCATACCATCATTATGCTCATCTATTAAATATTCGCACATAATATAAACTGTTAATTTTATAATAAGAAACCGTTTGGGGCATTAAGTATACTTCATCTGGAGCTTCTTTTATGAACAGTATAACTTGATTCTGCTAAGAATTTTTGACTTCTTTGCTCTATAGCCTTCCACATTTCTTTTCAGAAAACTTATCAACTTTGAAAATTTACTGATGTCTACATTATGATGAATAAGTAAATTTGATTTAATTTTCGAATAGTACGACCAGAGTGATGAGGTTTTATAGGATTCAGAAATTTCAGAAAAACTTCAAGAATTGTTGGTAAGCCTTTTTATACACATTTTTCGATTTCTGAGGAAGCAAATTGGACGTTACATCTTTAGCTCTTGCAGTAATGGCCAAAAGTATATCAAACTCTTCTCCAATGTTCATTTTTCCATTTTTGAATAATTTTATTCATAGAATTAAATACAATTGAATACTTTGACTGTTTTTTTTTGACACACAACACACTCGTTTCCTTGACAATTGTCAGCCCACTTTATTGAAATATATCCGTAAGGAACAATCATCATTTTCGTTTGTAATTTATTGTTAATTTAACCAGTTGGGAGGACAGTTTTATATACATCTCTGGAATAAACTTTCTTAATCCCGTGACTAAAGATGCTCTCGCTCCCTTCAGTAATTCATAACCCCTTAATTGTTAATGTTGGATAATTTGTATTTGCAATGAATGATTTTATCAAAAAATTTGAAACAAATAAGAATGAAAATTATTTATTAATATTTACACTATAAAAATTATTTGAACCGTTGATATTTAAATACACAAATCCAAACTAAGTTGGGCCTTCAGATAGAGATGGAGAGTGCGCTTCCTTTTCATATGTACACTTGCGAGCATTGAAATCGGGCCACTATTCACATCTGACTTTGAATCAAATTTTCCACCGAACTATATTACACTTAAAGAAAGTAAAAAAGCCAAAAGATCAGATGTTTGTCTTTAAAACAAAGTTACGAAAAACTTCATAAAATTGTTTTGCAATATTCTTCTTTGGACAACTCATAAGCTATGCGATTTTGATGAATATGAAAAAAATGAAATGTCACCTTGACAGTCGCAATTGTTGAAATATTTCAAACGTCTTTCTCATTGTATCTACTACTTAAGACATGGAAAAAATAACTTAATCACTTCAGAACCAAAGCGGTTGTTTTCCTTTAAATGGTTATTGCCCTCGCTTTCCCAGGATATTAGTCTCTACTCACGGGAAAAAACAGCCGCTTTAGACCCTTGGTTATTAATATACTATTTATTTTGCTTGCGTGAATAAATTGCGGTTAAAAGTTATACAGTTGAAAATATTTTCCTTGATTACTATCGTTTATTTATTTAATAAATGGCAAACACTTGAAGCTGCCGCACAAGAGGCCGTGTGACTCTTAATCCCCATAAATTCCGATTCGTCTACGAGACAATAGATACCACCATTGGGAATTAATGAGAAAGTACTTTTTATTTTAATTCTAAATAAAATGTTCTTAAAAATTACAAATATCAGTTTTTCATATTGAATCTATCACTAGTGCTCATTTTAGAATTCAAAATGATAACAAAAGTATCTTTTATATCTGTACATTTTTTTTAATGACGTCCTTACCTTTCCTGTATTTCTGGGATCGATATCGATTTATGCAAGTTTTCTTTGTCTAGAAGTGCATGCAGTTCCTTCATGTACGCCGTAAACCGAAAACTTTTCAGTATTTTCTCAATACATGACAGTTCCCTAAAACTTTAAATAAAATTGTGAAAAATTAGAAGTAAAAATTGTGCTACGTTGATCCATGTATAGAAAATATTCCTTCCGTAATTGTGGTTCTGAGAAGATGATGTCGATCAAACAACATCTTTAAGATCTGTTCTAAATATTGATATTTTTCACTCAACGGTCCGGTGCGAAGTTTTTCAAACAGTTTCTTCATTTGCTCTTTCATCGCACTTGAGGCAGCTTCTATTGCTGATCTTTCGTGCAATAATGCTCTGAGTGACAAGGTGGTTTTTCGAGTCTAAATTTGAGTGACTATCATGTTAAAGGCGAGACAAGGAATCAATGCGGACACGTCATTAATGACGTCGTTTCCTGACCAACAGTAAATTAGCAATACCGAACCAACATCCGCTTTCGCAGCTATAAGATTAAGTTAGTGTTTTGTGGCATTACGTTGGCACAACAAATAGTAAAACCTACAGTACCATGTATTGGTTTGTACAATTGTACATTAATTTGACAGTAAAGTTATTAGGTTATTACTGTTAATTTTCGATCATTTATTAGCGTTTTGTTGGTTCTATGCTCGTGTAATCACATCAGTGCCTTTCAAAACTGCAACAATTCTTATTAGAACTTCAATGGCACTTCTGCCGCGATTTCGTTAGGTTGTAGGTACCTACCAAAATAAATAATACGTCAAAAAGAAGCGTTTGCATAATGTTTCAAGCAAATGGTAGCATGTTTAAGTGAGAATTTTATTAAAGAACGACGTAACTGGAGGCCTCTCATTGACAGTTCTCAAACCGATTAATTTAATTTAATTTAATAAAGTGGTAAACACATGACGTCATAAATACTGCCCGTGACGTGTACGCACGGATTATTTTTACTAAAGGCGGTATGTACAGTCATGCTCACATAAATCCTGTACAACCTTACGTTTACGTTGTGTCAAAATGAATACAAAATCAATAACATGGACACAAATTCCGGTTGTTGTCTGTACGGAATTTATGTGAGCATTATTGTACATAGGATCTTATTGAAAAAAAAAACTGGTCAAATGGTAGTGACATGAACGTCTTACTGCCATTGTTTTTCATTGACCTATGAGAACCTGATATTCTCATCTTGTCCATTTTTTTTTCTCAATAAAACAGTACATATTCACGAGAAGCTTCACCCTGGCTTTGGCTTTGATGATTTAGAAATAAACATAAATTTTTAGGTTAAACAAAAATTAAACAAATCCAAAGCAGAAGCTTTGAAAAACCAATTTATGTACAAATCATTGCAATAATTATTCCAATGTCGCCCTCACTTTACTCACCATATATTAAAATAATGTCATATTTTTTCATCGTTTAAATATATTATGCATCAGTTCTGGCGAAATGTCAAATTTTAATATCTGTAGCAGTTATCTAACATTACGTAAAGGTTGTTACCACTAAACAGATAAGTATGCTTTACTTTTTTAAAATCAAAGACGGTTTTGAGGTTGTATTTCTGGTTGTGTTTTGACTTTTTCAGGAGCGCAGCTTTTCGTGAATGTGCTTGTATTTTTAAATATACCTATATTTCTATAATATAAAATAATGTCATATATATTTACGCGGTAACCACGCCAGAGTGCTTGAATTTTAGTAGCGCAATTATGGTAATATTTAATGCTTAAAGCGTCATAATATTCTTTTAATAGTTCCGGTAAATGCCGTCGAACCAGCCAGCCTCTTACATACTTCTGGACGAAAGTGACTTTTTTGTGCCAGTCTTTGATTAATTGTCGAGCAATATAACCACGCCACGTTTTTTGTATGGTCACAGCAGAAACGTATAACTTTTTGTCGATCGCTGCGAAATTCCTAAAAGATGGAAAATAATTAAAAAATATAACAATAACGTCCTACTGAAGAAAAAAAGGGGCAAATATATGTTATATTATTATTATAGAACTGCGCGACATGTTCTATTGTCGAGAGGAAGCATACAACGTGGCTTTCAAATAACGAAATAATTAACACGCCTTTATTTTTCATACCTTGTCTGTCTGACTTTAGCAGACTATTTTAACTTTGAATTTGCGACGTTGTGAAGTTATGTAATTTTTTGATAATGCGAAGATTCACAAAAAAATCACAAGAGAGTTATTTTAAATGTCTTATAAACACATGAAAATTGAGTTAGTACGCAAACTATCAATTTTTACTTCTCGAGCGTAAGCGGAGGAAGTATTGTAATCGAATCCATCGACGGACTGTTTATTTTTAGCTTTTCTCGACCTTTCATGACCTCTACAGTACGAAGAACTAGATCTCCAGTTTTCGTCTGTCTGTCTGTCTGCTGTCTGTCCGGATTTTTATTAGACAGATAATTTCCGAAACTATCAGACCAGTTGTTGTCAAATTTCATATATGTATAGGGATATCGTGTAGATAGGTAAAAGAATAACCAAAATTTGGATAATCAACCCACCAACAATCTGATGAAGTGATGACGTCCGCTCAATATATTACATAATAACATTAATAACAATACCGAAATTTTATGAAATAATATACTACTGCACTTGTGGTTTATGAATCTATCTTGTTTTTGTATATTATTACTATATTTTTTTATTGCTTAAATCATCTTATTCTTTACGATCGTAGTACGAAACCCAGTTAGAGCAGGCTTGGCTGAGTGGTAGAGCTTCTGCTTCACGGACCTAGATTTGACGAGTTTGAAACCAGTCTGCGGCATATTTTTTTCTCATTAGATGAAATAAATTTAATAAAAGTAACCACTCCTCAATTTTTTATTGCTCAAATTAAGAATGAGTCATCCCACTTTGTCGAAAGTGTGAGAATATGTCTTTATTTAGTAATGATTAAATCAGAATTATAATAATAATATTCAGAACATTTTGTTCTGTTTTGGTTTAATTAATAATTTCAATTCTCTCTTTTGAGGCGACACTCTCATTCAAATGAAACTAATTAAAAATTATTGATTCACACAGTCGAACAGATTATTCTAACTATTATTATTATTATTATTTTTATTAAATAAAGACAAGCATATTCTCACCTTTTCCGGAAGGTGGGGTGACTCGTTCTTAATTTGATAAATACAATATTTGTTATGACGTCATAAATGTGTGTATAATACACAACGGGAGAGAATGAGAAAAAAAGCACGAAAGGTCAAGTTTCGCATCGAACGCGGGACCTCGGTCCGCGTTCCGAACTCTTATCCACTACACCACGATCGGGATGTCTTGCGACAATGGTAAACTGTTATTATACTGTGTATACTGTGTATTTTTGCAAAAATTTGGACGGTTAGGAAAAACTCAAAGCGGATTCGTACACCACACGTGCAAGAGTATATTGTTGTGTAACAGTTAAATCAAATAAACATAGAATTAGTTGAAATGACGTCATCAAATTCTTGGTATCATCCCACTAACAATTTTATGACGTAATTTCAAAGAATTCAAATGCAGGAGTTATTAGTTATTAAAAACAATTTCGGTAATGTTATTATGCAATATATTGAGTGGACGTGATCCAATTGTTGGTGGGATGATTATTTAAAATTTTGGTTAACGTTTAACTATCTACATGATATAGATACAAAATTTGTGACAACAATCCGTCCAACAGTTTCGGAGATTTCGTGTCTAATAAAAATAAATACAGACACTAGACAGACAGACGGATGAAAACGGGAGACTACTTTTTTCATACTGTAGGGGCATGAAACGTCGAGAAAATATAAAAGTGGCCATTCGTCCGATGGACTCGAATACTATACTTCCTCAGCTTACGGTCGGGAAGTTAAAGGGGAAAAAAGTTGATACAAGAGTTTTCAAAATATCTGCACTTTTATGTGGAAAAAAATAGTAACATTGTTTTAGTTACATTGCCTTAACATACGCAGATGAAATAGAGCAAGATTCGATCTACCTGGTGATTAAATCTGGAGATTGTTATTTTTCATGCTCTATTCTGAAAATAATATTTTGCTACAAATTATGTACATTTTACGTAGTGTCTATGTGCTTTTTTTTAAATTTTATTAAGATGGGAAGTTCAGTATAATATACCTACCATAGACGGTATATAATGTTACACGATTTATATTATCTTGGTGCTTTAAATTATTTCGCTGTAGTTTTTGTCTACAAAAACAAATAGTGCTTTCTTTGCTCTAGCAATAATTATTAAAGTGAAGCAAAATAAAACATCTACATTTAAAATTGAAATTATAGTTACATAAAATGTACTCACGAGTAAGTCTCAAGAACTCTTCGTTTTATCTCAAACGCATCACAACACAAGTGAAAAACTGATGCCATTATTACAGAAAGTAGATACAGCCAGCCACACGTAAATGATTTAAGTGACACAAATTAGTTGTTTCGTACTGACTTTCAAATAGTGATATAAGCCTTCTTTAAAATTTCAATTTCATTTTTGTTTATAAGTACATGTTTTAAAATAAAAACAATATACATACATGATTCTTTAAAACGATTACAAAATTGCCAGTAACCCTTCGAGCTTACCGAGAATCGTAACAATTTTGTTTATTAATTAGATCAATTGTATATGAAATTACGTAATTACAACGGGAAGTGAACTTTAAGAAATCCTAAAAAACAACCAATCAAAAAGCTTTGTTGATTTCAGTTGGTAACAAAAAAAACTGCAGTGGTGATTTTCATATTATACCGTTGAAACTTCAATTAACGTCAAAGTTGTCATCACCAAACACGCAGGTACAAACAAATTAAGTCAATTATATTAACGTTTGTGGAATTTGAGTTTACTATCTCCCTTTAAAACGTTTTGAACATCAAAACCTTTTCAAAATCTGCAGTTGAGTATGAATTAGTTATAACAACGTATGTTTATTTTCTCCCATGTCAAACTAGGATTTAATACTACAGTGCTGTATTTATTTTCAAGATAGATGCACTGTGGGTGGGTTTTTAATTTTGGCAAATGCTATACAGGGTTTTTATAAATGATTCTAAGAGAGAGTAGTTGGCCATGGAGTTCAAAAATCCCGCTTCGCTGAAAGCGTCGTCTTGTTGATTTTTTTTTTAAATTATCAAATCAACGAAGGAAACGGCTGCAAGTGTGCCTATAGTTTAACAGTTCTTCCTTGTCATTTGTAACCTGTCATTTAATGTTATCGCTTTTATTGTTCTAACATTTTTAAAGTGTGAATTACAGTAATTCTTGCTGACCCAAGCTCAAAACAGCAAAGCAGTCGTTTTCAAGACTCTTCGTGTTTGCGTACGAAAATTTTGTTTTTGTGCTAGGAAGCGAAGACATTGAAAATGGGTTATTTTGTTAAACAAGACACTGTCATTGTTACGTCTTATTATCGCAAAGGACATTCGTAAACGGAGAGTGTCAGTCAGGAGTTCCTGTGAACACTGTCACAAAGCAGTGAAAAAAAAAACTGCCTATATGCATCCTTACAAAATAACTATTGTACAACAACTTTTATAACAGATCCTTCACGCCGCGTAGAATATTGGAATTGGTTTCATAGTACTTTAAATGATGATAAGTTACTAACTGGACCTTACATTTTATAATGATGAAGCTTGGTTTTATTTATCTGGCTATCTCAATTCTCAAAATTTTAAAATTTAGTCAGCGGAAAACCCACACAATTTTGTAGACACGCCTCTTCATCCTTTAAAAATTTTAGTGTTGTGGTGACCGAATTTAAATCAAAATTTTCGCGCTGAAATTAATTAACAGCGGCGCGAAATCACATTTGAATAATTTGAATTTGAAAGAAAAAAAATGAATCACAAAAGGGAAATCGTTAAACATCGGCAACCAAATACGCACGTAGCGCTTAGGGGTAGTTTTGCATGATTATTGAGTTAGATGGCGGCACGTAGCGCTAGGGAGTTTTGAGTTACAGGATTAGAGGGTTGGTAGAGAAGCTGCATGGCGTAGCGTCATTATCTAGTGTTGGGCATAATCGATATATTTCACTAATCGAATGAATCGAAATAATCGTTTAAAATAATCGAATGATCACTCGAAAATTCGATTATTATCCAGTGCGCATGACTTAACGAAATTTGAATCGAACATTCAATTACGATTTATTTATCGATTGAAAATATTTTATTACAATGTCAGTGGTCCGTATTCCTTTCCCTTAATTAATATTTAGAGATGTTCGTTATTTTTATTTCTCTTTGGTATATGCTTTTATCGTATTCTTTTCTCACTAATTCTAATCAAAATTTTAGAAACCGAATGGCTTAACAAAAAGAAAATCCGACGAGCCAATTATGTTTGTAAATTACACTGCTTTTCAAAAAAATTGCAACATTTACCACGCCCTGCATATTCGTAAAATTGTCGAAGCATTTCGACCGATTCTTCTTGCAGCAATTTCGCGGTACGACAAACCAGCCTCTCGCATAGCCACAATTCTGCCTGTGTCAAAGGCGCCAATTTGTTCAAATTTAACATTTCTTCACATCGGTGGCATTTTATTGCATAAAGTGATACAACTGACAGACACCCATAAAAATAAAATGTAAAATTTGTTAAAAAAAAAATGATAAAATTTTTTACTTCTTCACCAAGAAAAACATGAAAAATATTCCAAAGCGTGCGTTGTTTTCCACCATATTTTCATCATCTTTTCCGGAGAACATGGTGCTTCGATGGGTGCATATAAGTCATTAAAAACTAGCCTGATGACTCTTCTGTTAATGTTGATATGTTATGGAATTACCTTGATGACAAAATTGTCCGATCCACAAATGTATTAGCTGTTTCACCAAAAGCAAAAGCTATTGTAATGATAAAGCAATATTTATCAATGCCAAACATAGCCCGAACATGCAATCCTTTGAGCTTTTGGATGGAGAATAAAAATTTGTTTCCCGAATTATTCAAGCTCCATGAAAAATATCTTTGTGCACCAGCCACTTCCGTACCGTCAGAAAGAATATTTTCGAAAACTGGTCTCATAACCAATTTGCGAAGAAACCGACTTGCACCTAAAAATTTAGATTATATTGTTTTTTTAAACACAAATTTGCAAATGTAACAATTAAATAAATTTTTATATTCCTAACCTTTCGTTATTGACATGTTCATCTTCAAAATGACATTTCGCATTCGCAGTGACACTTGTAACACACTACCACCAACCTAACAAATGAAATTTACTAACGATTTCGATTATTTTCTACGGTTAGTTGCCTGAATCCGAATGAATTATTTCGAAATCTCGAATCGTAATCGGTTCGTGTACTCGTGCGCAATCGGAACGAAAAACGAAACGAATAATCGAATAAACGAATGATTTCTAAACGATAATCGAATGATCGATTATTCGGGTATAATCGAGATATCTCGATTATATCATTCGTAATCGCCCAACACTATCATTATCAATGTGCTGGTGTGAGTGTGAACACGTGGTAAGCGCTAGGTTTAAATTAGTTGGTTTGGTAGTTAATAAAATGGGAGGAAGCCTTTCTTTAACGACAATCAATCGTAACTGACGTCACTAATTCTTGCGGCCTTTTAATCGGAGAAATGCGGACTTCCGGTCAACACGAAACACGTGCTGTAAATTTGTTTCATTGTTTGTAAATTCACCAATCAAGTTAGTTTTTCTTAATAGTCAGCTAGTGCAAACACAATTTAACAATCCGGATTATTTAAATAAACCACTTGCTAAAAGATTTCATGAAATTCACTTAGTCAGGAAAAACACCTTATGTTTAATTACGAATAGGTCTCTGGATGCATATACGTAAGTGTTACATTATGACACTTCTAAATTCTTCACACAAGATTGCTAATAGTTCATTTACGGCAGTTAAACAAATTCATTATACTGCGAACTGGGGGGAGGGGTTTAAAATGTTTTCTTCCCTTAGGCGGTTATCATCGTTATTATCGTCGTTATCTTGATTAATTCATCGAGGCATGCCTCACAACGCTACAGATTGATTAATTCATCGAAGCATGCCATCACAACGCTACAGATTGATTAATTCATCGAGGCAATTCCTCGCAACGATTTTAAAATTTACATCACCGAGACGCTTTTTTCCTCCGAGCAGTGATTGGATATTTTTGTGTTTGTTTATTATGTGTCTTGTTGGGGTAACCAGTTCGCGGTATTTTAAACTCTCAAAGTAAATTGTTTTTTGAAGTAACCAATCACTTAGATCACGATATAATTTGACATAATGTAAACTCTTTGTTTGAATCATTGAAAAAGTGTGGCAATTATTAATCTGCTGTAAATTTTGTTAACTGTGCAATTTTCCATCTCATACAATATTTCTTTAATCTCACAATTTTAACCTAAGCAATTTTATTTGTTGTATAATTTTAATCGAACGTAAATTTCATGTTCTACAGTTTTATCCTCACATAATATTTTTATTTGTACAAGTTTATTACACACCAGATCTTCTGTTTGATAAATCTTTGCTGAGTTCTGTTTTGTAAATACTTTGCTGATGAATGTTTCTATCATATAAATTATTTGATGTCCAACTTTAATCTCACATAAAAATTATTTGTTGTTTAAAATTTCACAAGATTGTATGGCGACTCTAAATGTTGTTTATTGCTCGTTGAAACTTTAACACTTGTTCAGTTGTTGTTAATATCAGAGTTATAAGAGACTGAATATTTAAAAATGGAATTGAGGTTAAATGACACAGAAAACGTGGCAGAAGCGAAGTTCGGTTCTTAGTCGAGCTGGCGAGATTTATCGTGTCACCTGTACAAGTCCACAGGTTTGGATAGATTCAGAGGCGGCCGCCGATGTTGTAAAGTTCTCGGCTTCTGCCTATAGCCGAGATCCCTTGCGGGTCTGGCGACCGTAATGGCCTAGTTTCGCACAGCATGATTGTAATGGGGGTGCGTGCAGGTAGGCTTTGCGATAGATAGAATCACCGTCGTGGGGTGAGAACAGCTCCAGACCTGTAGCCCCAAATTCCGCTTATGCTATAACGCCCCTGGGGTACTCTTGTTGTGCTCGTTAACTGCCGTAACTTTAAAGATCTGCCGCCACACGCCCGTAATAACATGTGTATTTGCATCCAGTTACTTAATTCAGATTTTGCTTGGTTATTTTATTAAATTTTTGATATTCAAATATTTGCATTGATTCCAAACAGCTGTATAGAATTTTGCGTTTGTTCGTTTTCATATGTGTATGTCTGTCAATTCGCGCGTGTCCTTTTTTCATATATCTTAAGGTGGTTTTTGCGCTGAGAAGTCAATCTTCGCAGCTCTTTCCCCCCTGTGAGGGGGTGCCGTGGCAGCCCCTCCAAAACAATTTTGTCTATTATTTCTTGCGCTCTCAACTCACATGCAGTATATGCTTACTTGTATGAAAGAACGTATTCCCGCCACTTAAAAAAAAACACAACGTAGGTTCTCATTTGTTAGACGATCACAGCCAAGGCCAAACTTTGAATTTTTGACTTTCTCGCGGGCCTTTTAAACTTTTTCAAGGTCAATTTACAGGCGGGAAGTTTGGGTTATTACAGTGTGGTTGTCAGTTTCTCGTAGACGAATATATGGACCTATTTTCTTTCACGATACTATGATTGCAGAGAAGTGCAGACAACAGATTTTGGAATTGTTTATTCAACAATTTCGTGACGAAGAGCTGCATTTAAGGTACTTCCAACAGGATGGAGCAACTGCACACACTGCAGGTGCTACATTGGAATAATTACAACAACATTATGGCAATCGTGTAATAAGTTTAAGGCTGCAGCATGCATTTTCCACCACGTTCTCCAGACCTCAAGCCACTGGACTTTTAATTTTTGGATATTTGAAGCACAAAATGCTTCAGTGACAGATGGATAATTTGGCAGAATTACAACATGAAATTGAACAATGGGCCCAAAACACTGATGAACGGATGTAACAGAACATTTTTGAAAATGAGAAAAAGAGAGTGAACATATGCCTTGGACAAAATTAATGGTGAACATTTTCAACATTTAATGTGATGTTTAACAAGAATAAATTTGTTTATTTATTGTATTATAAATTAGTTTTATTTTTTAATAACATAAGCTTTTAATAACATGAAGCGTTCAGGCAACCAGTTATACAGATGTGTGCGGTATTTGTCGTACGTCCTTGGGAATTTAGTAAAATGCATATAACGTGATAGGGGGTACATTCCCATGACCTACTTCCACGCAATAATCATTTATAGAAACCCTATGTATGAAGACAATTGAAAGCACTTTTACCGACCAAATATTAAAAAAAAAATACTTAATTACGTCAAAAGATTTACCGATACTTTACTCAAGAAATAAAAATTCACTGATTGGCTGGGAGGCACACTGTGATATTTTAAATGATCGATTTTAAGAAGTATTTTACGACAGTTGCTGTAAATTTAAAGATTTAAGTATCCATCTTCTTCTTCTGCCTGAAGACGGTACTGTGTACCGAAATACGTGTAGCAGTGACTACAAATATATTATTTAAACTCTGAAAGTTTTTTCATTATTATTAAAATTAATATGGAGTTTAAACACGTATCAGCCTCATCAATACAAACATCATCTTCCCTTTTATTCATTTAATAACAATTGTATTAATGGAATCACCAAGATTAGCAGTTGGTTCCTTACCAGCCTAATCAAAACATGACCTAGTAACTCGCCATAAGTTCGCAATGCACAGCTGGATTGTTAGTAAAGTCGTTTTATACTAGAGCAGGTTTCATCACGAAAGGGTACAGCTGGTGGGAGTGCGCACAACATTGTTTTGGTTTGACCTTACAAATATCGTGAGAGCAGTGGCAGCAGCGATGAATATTTCGACTTTGAAATATCAAAATATTATTGGTGTTAATAAAAATATCAATTTTCTATTTAATTAGCGTTGACATTATAGAAAATGAATTTAAAGGTTTGTTAATGCTGTATTATGATGTATTAGTTGAATAAAAAACTAAGTAAAAGAAGTAAAAAGGTAACTTTTAGTGAGCAATAACAACTGATAAATTACGGTCCAGTGTACAGTCAAAGCTATATATTAAACGACAATTATGCTAAAACCATCACTGCTAAAACATGAACTGTGATGATTATTTCGAGGTTAAAGACAGAAAACGTTAAGCCTTATTGTAATCCGACTTTATATATAGTATTGACAAATTGTGCCAGAACATTAAAAACCATGTAACTATAATCATGGGTTGCTAATTCTCAGGGTTTTACCCCGCCTTTATCTAAAGATTTAACTGTTGATTTAAGACTAGTCGACTATAAAATAGCGTATGTTACTGGTTTATAATGCGGGGTTCGTGAAATTTTTTACTCATGCTATAATCCCTCACATTATAAACTCGTTTAATAGGAATTAAAAATACCAAATTTTTTGTGATACGTTATAATAATTTATTGTTACGTAAGCCTATTTATTACCAAACAAATAAATTTATTTTTATTAAATGGTTGTCTGTATTCTTTTGTAGAAATTGCTCTATTTTTAATTGTTTTTGAAAGAAATATAACTCAGCGGCAGCCCAGCCTCCCTTCTCAATACATCGATGTTACGTCACTGCTAGCCCGACTACAAGTCGCGCAACTTAAGCCCCGCCCCTGTACCCTTTCGTGGTGAAATTACCTCTAAGTTCTAACTACACGTGTGGATGGATAACGATGGTGCCCATTTTAATTTAGTACAGATTTGTTCTTTGGCAAAATCTTCAAAACAAAATGCAACGTTACCAGTAAATGTGTCTTCGATAACATACCCTCCCCTCCTGTCTTTTTTGTTCGATAAAGTACAGATCCCTTTGTTCACAGATGGGGTGAAGAATCGCTACTATTGTATGTAGAACCTATGTAAGCATGACTGGTTGCCTACACGTATCTTTTTAAATACGTTCTCGCAGTTTTTTCTTCTGGGCCTAAATTTACTTTTAGATAGGGACTCTACAGAGTCAATTCAAGAACTTCTCGTGGTGAATAAACCTTACACGTATATTAAAATCCACACTTGCGTTTAGGGTAGGTACGCATAAAAAATGAGATTAACAAAAAAGTAGCATTTAATTTAAATTTTAACGTAGTAATAATTTACATAATATATAATGAAAGCATAAATGATCGTTTCCTTATATGCTAAATTTGAAAACATTAAATAATCATAAAATAACAAATTAACAATCTATTGAGACTGCTAATGAAACTTTTGTTATCCATTATATATTCGCTGTAATTTAAAGATAGGAGCACACACTGAATGACCATTAATCTACACTATATACATCGTTTGAAATAATTCAATAATAACGCAGGAACTACAATCAAGGTTGACTAAAAGATTTAACGTCTCCTGAACATACTTACTTTTCAACCTCGAATGATGCCCTATATCACTTTGCTTGCTAATAACTATATACATAGTAACATTGAAATGTTAAAAATAGATAAAAAAGTATAAATCAAAATACTTTATTATAAAAATACTTTTGAAATACTGAAAAATAAATTTCGCTAAAGTTTAAAAATAAAGAGAAGAAAAATAAATTAACTACAAAAATAATCTTATTTTAAATGATAGGAACATTATTAATAAATTTGTATATTTACACTAAATTTATAACTTTAATAGCAACCTGTCAATTGGATGCTTTCTTAAAAAATAAAAATACATTAAAAATATATACACCTCGTACTGGAACTAAATTTGCAACACTAATTTAATAATATTAGACAACAGTAGAATATTAAAGTTATAAATGGTACAAAGTAGTGTGGGCTTAATACAATAAAATGTACAAAACTACGAAGTGCCATTCACTGGAAGGTGAGTCCACACTTCTTCAATATATCACTCGTTCCAATGGATGGCGGCAAGATAAATCTACATGCTAAGTTACCGAAATCAGTTCTTTTCTAATGCTTCCTCGTCACTGTCAATGGTCAAGTATAACCCTGGCTACCGAAATTAACACACAAAAATTTGTCACATATCAATCATTGCTTTAAGTCAACATTGTTGTACCTCAAGCATTATGGAACTTTAATTACGCGTATTTATTTTCTATTATATAACTTTTAAGGTTTTAAAATAAATTTCGTACATTAGTGTATTATTTGTAATAATTAAAATCAGTATTTCATTCGTAACAATATAAAGTTACCGAGTACTCACTTGCCGAAAAAAATATGATTTTCGGTTAGCGATTACTCAGACCTCAATTTAAATAAATTAATGTGATCTACACAAGTACTGTAGTAACTAAATGTAAGACAAGAAAATTACATTTTAAATGCAAAACAAAACAACGAGTAAGTCTAATTAAACAACATTTGGATTTTATAAACTACACATGTAAAGATATGACCAGACTTGATGAGAAGTAACAAAAAATTTTTTTTTTTAAATTTTCGTTACAAGTATCTTGTATAATGTTGTAATAATTAGATTTTTACTGTAATGACTTATTTCTAATACAAGTCTTCAATTTTTTGAGAGAGCTAATGTGGAAATCAATACTTGATATTGTATTTAAAGTTTGATACAACAAAAAATATTAGTACGGGATAGAAAAATCTTTACTTTTTATGTCGGTAGTTACTACATTTAAAAATGTCGTACTTAAGAGTGGTTTTAAAGCTTCCGACTTTTTGTTTTATCTGATCACATCTATTTATTTACAAAAAAGATATATATTTATAATACTTTTTAGACTAACATATTAAAAAACACTTAAATCTACAAGCTGTTGATTTTTGTAAAGAATATCACAATAAAATGTATAAGGAAACAATAATAATTTAATAACGATTTCTAGACGGTACCTTTCAAATTGTGCTCGTTCTTATGATCATTACCAATGTAATTATTATTAAATAAAGCCCCCGTTGTTAAATTCATTCGTTCGTAGATCGTTGACCTTGCCGGGTTTGTATCGTAGCTCCCTTTTTTTCTCTTGCTGCACCATCGCATTGCACAGGTAATTATTATCGTTAATGCAAGGCCTATTATAAATCCAATCACTGCCCAGGTCACGTAATATAGAGTTTGTCTGGCGCCTGAAAAAGAAAAACCACAATAATTATAAAACATTCCAAATCATTAGAGCTGAATGTCAAAGTTAGCTGCTAAATACCGTAAAACTTACTTATAATTTTCTGAACCTTATATTAGGAATATTATGTAGATGGTAACGAAAATTTGGCTAATCATCCCCACTACCAATGGGATGACGTCATCTCCAAAATTTACAATAATATACTTTTTTTTAATTTTATAAAGTAAGATACTCGTTCACTTGTGATGTATAATAAAAATCGGCAGACGACGACACACAGACAGGACTGGGAAACCTATTTTTTCGTATTCAACTGGCTATGAAACGGCGACAAAACATGAAAGTAACCGTTCGTGGAATGGACGCTATTGGGATATGTACTTCTTCAGCTTACTCGGGAAATTGAAACAGAACCACGTCTGATATTTTAAAAATGATAGTATATGGGTTACGCTGTTTTATCAATTTATTTATTTTATTATTAGTTATACTTTATTTTTAATGTGGTAAGTTAGAATATTGATTAGTACCAGTGATAAGTTGATTTCTAACTTTTTGTACTCTTTTTATTGGTTCTGCAATAAACTGACCCGGAAATGACTGGCATTCAAGCAAAACTTTCATCATTACGGGTAAAGACCAAGGAATGATATGCATTGATCAGATTAATAAAAAAAATTGAGATTCTAGAATTATAGCATACAAATGCGTCTCCTATTAATCTCTAATCTCACCCCATCCCCAAGAACCATGCGTAACTACCGATCATTTATTTGCGCATCACTTGAAATGTGACCTACACTACTCTGACCTACTGGTGCTAACGTATTCTGACTGACATGATCAGACAGTTCGAGAAACTTATGAACAATATGACATGTTCCTAACAAAACAGCTTTTTGCATTTTGACAACTATTGAATCATTTAATATTTCAAATTCATAACTAATCTATTTGGTACTACACCTAGATTGGAGATAACTAAAGGTAGAATTGAAATTTTGGTCTGGCAGTTTGTATTATGTTGTGTGTGTTAGGAACGGCAATGTCAATGAGAATGGTTTCATTGATGTGTTTCTTCATAAGTATGATATCTGGTCTGTTGGTTGTAATGTTTCTGTCTGTAAGTATTGTGCGCTTCCAATATAGCTCGTATTCGGTGTTTTCAAAGAATGGAGATGGAATGCAAGTGTAATAGAGTGTAGAATTTTGGATAAAGTTTAGCTTTATTTCTAAATCTAAATCTCAGCCAAGTATTTTTAATTTTCGTTTGCTTTAAAATGTTTTCGAATCCTGAAAAAACAGACATGCTTTTAATATTGGGGAAGTGTCACAAAAATTTTGATGCTGCAGGCAATATTCCAATAGAACTCCCTCAAATCAAGCGTTTAGACAAGTTGAAAAAAATTTACGAAAATTTGGGCAATTAAAAAAAAAAAAAAGTTAGAAATCGAACTGTAACAACGCCGGATAATGAAGCTGCTCTAATTGAAATTGTAGCAGAAAATTCCTCCGTGAGTCAAGGACAGATTGCAATAAAAATGGAGATTAATTCGGGTTCGGTTTTCAACATCTTAAAGGCAAACCGATTTCATCCATACCATGTAATAATTGTCCAACATTTACCAGAACGCGATTTTATCCGACGGATAGTGTTTGCGAATTCGTGAGGGCTCAATTACGAGACAATCAAGATTTTTTATTTAACGTTTCGTTTAAGGATGAAGCTACATTTACCAATAACGCGTGTGTAAACAGACACAACTCATATTACTATGCCCAGCAAAATCCCCATTGGTATCAGGAAAAGCACTTTCAAAAATTTTCAAAGTTAATGCTTGGTGTGGAATTGTTGGTAACCACGTCATTGGTCCACATTATTTTGAAGGAAATTTGAATGGACCTATGCATCTAAATTTTTTTAAATAATATTTTACCTGAACTGTTGGAAAATGTAGAGCTACACACACGAAGAATAATTTGGTTTCAAAATGTTTTTTTTTTGGGGAATGACGTTTATAATGTCCCAATCGAAAATGAAAACCATTTACGTGAAAGGATAATAGCGTGATGCAGATCCCGACGTGTTAGATAAGAGTTCGGGGAAATTTTGAATGTAGGATAGGACTTTGTGAAGATAGTGGAGGCAGGCATTTTAAACATTTTTTATAAATTTGTTTTCATTGTAATCCGATCCATTAATAAATTGAGTATTATTTTTTCCAATTTCTGTAATGTTTTTTTCTGTGACTGCTATGATTGCTTATTAAAAAAAAAAAAAAAAAATTGGATGAAGTCGTCCCTGGGGTGTATAATATGTTGCCTATGCAAAAATTATCAGGTGTGAACAGATAAAATGAACACCCTGTATCGTAAGTGACTTAATCTACTTTCTATTTTGGTGTCAGTTCTTATATTGAAACCATAATTAGAACTGTTCAAGATGTCTGAAAGAGAATTTATTGCCAAACAGAACCATAGCGCCTTGAAAAATTTTTTTCTGATCATTATTGGATCTGATTGTACATACATCCTTTTAGTTCTTCGTTGATCTCGGATTTAAAACAATGTTCATGTAAATTGTAGGTAAACTCGAGGTCTGTATTTTGATGGAGTTGTTGTGTCATTATCTTTAGGTTTTAGACAAAACATGTTATACCATGACATAAAAATATTGGAAATGTAGATGGGTTAGGAAGGAACTGGTTTAAGTGTTTTAGTAAAGAAGTGTGTACACAATTGAATTTTTTCACCCAAAAATGATGTATTTTGGTGATTTCCAGTTTTCTGTTCTATTGATGGTAGACATCAGTTCGTCAAGTGTTATTTAATTATCGTTCATTGGTGTAACTGTGGATAGTTTATTGAATATTTGAGGAACCCATTGGATTGATTAATTAAATTTAAATTCTTGAGACCAAAATTTTGACCAGAAAGTTGTTAAATCCTGTGAACTTGGAAGTATACCAGTTAATTGAGTTTTTCTGTATTAGTTAAATTTCGATAGAACAATTTTTCATTGTTAAAAAATTGTGTGGGATGAATTTTTCTGAGACGTGTTTGTATCTTTTAAGTCTTTTGCTATAGGTATAAACTAAGTTTCTGTAATAAAGTGTTTTTAATTTGTAATAGTGTTGTGTTGTGTTGCATGTAATGGTATATCGTGTTCCAACTTCTCTAAGGTATTGTGTAATTGACCTAGTTGTTTTATTGTTGTTTTTTTATCATTATTATTATTGAAACACCAATCACGTTTTTTGTAAAATCTCGAAACACATCGATATACCCAAATAGAGTATGTTATGTAAGTAAATGGCCATACATTAATACCGCATAGAAAATATCAAATCGAGTAATAATTTGCAATCATTTCTCCTCTATCATGTTCTTCTAATAAAAGGACCAATAAGAAAGGTTTATGGAAATGAAACAGAATTTACAAATCATAGTAGTTTTAGTACAAAAGAAAAATGTTGTCATTTTTTAAGTATAAATAAATGCCAGCGGTCGTACACAAATTATTTAAAGGGATGTAAAACGAATATAAAATCTTTATTAAGGAGAATTACTATGTACTACAAATGTTGAAAGTGGTCCCTATTTTGTCTGAATACAAAGTTGAGCGTCGTTCTAATGACGCTATGTTAGCTTTTAACAACATGATGACTGACCTGGTGAATGCTTAAATAGGGGTTGTTGTCTATTAAATCAAGATTTGTTCGTCCCGTTGAACGTCATTTTGACCAGGATTTTGTACTAAATCAAATTTATTTTGTTGCACTGAAATTTACAATAATTTTCGATGTACTTGCACAAATACGTTTCTGTGTGGAATTCTTTTGTTCCTATAACAACTCACAGCAGCGCGACCCTTTTCTCGCCCCTCAGCATAAACTAAATGCATTTCGGCATATTCTTGGTTCGTAAAAGTAATCGGCATTCTTCAGCTAAATTTATGACACGACGCCACTGACATAAAATTCATTGTCAGTTATGACAATTAACGGACATTGTTTTGCCATGTCCCTTGATTCGTAAGTTTCAGAGAAGGTACAAAAAAAATATTTCAAACTACGACTTCTGTTACTTTCCTTTATAATAATAACATACTATATTTTGTAATAACAGATGTAGTAAACGTAGACGTAAAATGAATACTCTATCAACATTTGTGGTATTAAAAAACTTCAGGACCCGGCGCCTCCACCATATATGTGATGGTAACCATTACGGGATTTGGGCTATTTCCTAAGGCTATTCCGTAAATGATTTATAAATACCACCATTATTAAGCATATCATCGGATGCCCCGGACGTTCTCCAAAAGCCAATCGCTTAATAGTGGATATATACGAGCTTCCAAGTTTTTAACGTCAAATACAATACTACGTTCTGTAACACATGGAAAGTACTATTTATAAGTATATTCTTTAAATTATTCATATGTACCATGCAGGCTGCGCGAAAATACAAAAAATATAATTTATTCTTTGCTGTTGCAATTTTACTATAAAATAAGACTTATAAGTAATCTTATCTGTACTATTTTTAATGTTATCTATGCGTGTGGAGCAAGTTCATGGAAACGTTTAGATTTTTTTGTATCGCACTAATATGATTTCAACGATTATAAAGTAAGAATAAATTTATAAGTGCATTCTTAACTGTACATAAAATGACAAATACGACAACAAACACAGTAAAACATCATGTTTATGTCACTGTTACATATTCCACAACTTAATTTCGCATCTATCGTATCTAGTATATCACCTATTAAGAGAAATATTACCTGTTAAGTGAAATTTGCGTTCGTATTAGAACAACTCATGGTTCAAGAGCCATCATGCTTGGTGAATAGCAGCTAAATGTCTTGTAATTGTAATCATTTCTGTTTACAACTTAATTATAGTTCACTTACTATTCACTAAAACAACTAACTTGTTCCCCTGGGGTGTTGCCTAAGTTACCTGGTTCTCACACGCTGTAATTGGCTAGTTCTCTTTGCGAAATACGAACAGGTCTTTGAGGAAATTTGCAATAAATTATAATAGTTGTTTCGGCTAAACTACAATAATATTATGTATTCCAAAATTATACCAACAATCTTATCCTTGGTATAAACCACTTTTACACTACACACCAAGTGTGTTTCATGTTTTTCCACGTTTATAAGACTTCAGTTTCTGTTTGTTTTTATTCCAGGCATTTAAATTTTTCCACAACAAATTCAAATTATATAAAAAAATTTGATACCAGTATAAGAGCAACTGGAGCATAGTCGTGAAACAGCGTCGAAATTCGCATCGAACAATAACGCATAGATACATTTTAAGCGGAACTTTTCACTTTTAGTACAAATGCAGCTTCGATATGTGTGAGACCGATGACAGGTGACACAATTACTGATATGAAGACATTTTTGTCTTAATCGTAATTCCGTTGAATATGAGCCTATAAGTAACAAATATTACTTAACGATTAGTAGGATTAAAATTTGTATCAAATTTAGTTTACAATAGCACTCGAACTTCGGTCACAATAAGTATGCAATGGATACTGAACTATTGCATACAACAACTGTTTCGTCACTGTTGAAAAATAATTTAAAATTTCATTTTAATTGAAAATTTTGTGTAGCCTATTCTTCATTTCGTAGAAAGAATCTTAAAAAGTAGTGGGCCAAAAGTAAATGGAATTTCAACTGAGTTTAGTAAAAGATCCTGTTTCTTCGATTTTTCTTAACAGACTTTTGATCTTAGTGATCAACAATCTTCAAGCTCAATCGTTTTAGCTGACTTTGCAACCTACGTTTTAATTGCTGGGTTACTTCGACGTTTCCTCCAACAATGGTACTGTGAAACATTGTACATTATATAGACTAAAATCCTCGGTTCAGAGAGTTTCGGGGATGTTCGAAGTATCCGAATCTTTGTATGTGAATTTCACATCTTGTCCCTTCGCAAGTTCCGGGTGGTCATAACGCATGACTTCTATTTATAAATCCATTAATGTTTGGTCACTTTTCTAAACTACAACTATGCAGATGAAATTCTCACATTTGCTATTTGCACAGTCTACTTGATTCAGAAAGTAAAGTGCATGGTTTGAAATTTATTGTTCACTGAAGTACCTAGTACTCAAAGTTTTATTAGAAATTTAAAAAAAAGGTTGGATTTGAAGAATTTATAAAATATTTTATCTTATACAATAGTAAGTTTTGGGATAGATTATACAACTGTTTTTGGAGAAAATATTATTAACAAGTGATGTAACTATGGATACTACTAATACATTCAAAGACAATACGATTTCTTTGGGTTAAATGAGCTGTCAATTTGAATTCATCTTATTCTTACGTTTATGTAAAAGCTGCTACTCGAAGATAAAACGTCGTACATCATACGTGAGCGAAATGCCATTATAAGCTCGTCAGAGTAGTATCACTCGCTTATAATACATACATTTCTCGCACTTATAATATAAAATACTATTATTTTCAAAAGTCATATAATTGACACTTATGGGACGTCTTTACCGGGGTTTAAGGGCCGGTTTATCAATGCGCAGTTAAGTTAAAGTAACTGGCAGTTAAAGCTTGTCTGTGAGTTAACCTGTTTATCATTACCCGCTAGCTCAAAACTGGTGGTCAAAGTGCCTGATAAATTAACTGACAGTTCAAACTGTCAGTTAAAACGTTATCCACCAGTTAGTGGCAACATAACCTAACAAATCCAAATAAATCTGTTATGAATTTAACAATATTTTGATGAGGACTTATGTTGTGCAACAAATTAACAGAGAAAAGATGACAAAAACACTTATTATTAGCTGATTATTTTCCAGGTCTAATGTAGGTACCAAAAATTAAAAACCTATCTAATAATACCGCGAGATCGAAAAAGAAATTAATTGAAGTAGGCCATGCACGACAAGCCGTTTGTCGTAATCACGGTGGTAGGGTAATTTAATTTTTTTTTATTAAATGTCAAATTGACAGTTTAAAATTAGAATTATGGCGCCTACTTTTAAAACACATAAGAATGAATTAAAATCACCGTTTTCCAATTTTGTCTAAAATTTATCCTATTTCTGAAGATTCTAATAACAAAAAAGCTTTAATTTCGTTTGATAACAGTGCAAATTACTTTTGTCAACGTGACGATTAATAAAAAATTATTTTAAACTAAGACAAACGCCTTTTCGTGCATGGCCAACTTTGATTAATTTCTTTTTCGATCTCTCTGTATTTATTTATAGGTGTACCTACTTGTTTCATTTTTAATTTCCAATACTTTTTTTCTAATGCTAAATTTTGCTTTTTCATGATTGATCACGTGAAACGCGGTATACAATCGTTGAATACCGAATGCGGATTGAATCTGATGGAACTTTCAAGGTCGGGGTAGTTTTGAACTGACCAATCACAACTCATTTCCAGTGGGGTGAGCGTTACCAACTTAAGAGAGTAACAGCTAAACTTCGAGCTACGAAACTGGAAGAAACATCGTGCATTGATAAACACTTTACCTCCGTTAACTGCTAGTTACCCTTATCTGGCAGTTACTTAACAGACACTTTTAACTGAGCATTGATAAACCGGCCCTAAAGTCTCATCTCTATGACGGCATATTTGAGCGAATTATAAGTACTACTTATACACCGGAGTATAAATAGAATACGTTTATGTGAAAATCATCGTGATTGTCAACCATAGTAACCATGGTAAGTCAATGTAAGGCAATTTTTTAATGAAGCAAGGAGACAGAAAATAATCGTTTCAAAGGAATATTAATCGTTTGAAAATAAAATATTGCATTTTATTCGGACTTTAAGTGACTTTATGTGACTCGTATAGACTTAATCGTCTATATTTCGTCACACAAAGTTTCACTTAAACTCCTAATAAAATAAATATCTATTATAAACTATAAACAATATTTTGACATTTTCAACGTTAATATTTAATTTATTAATTATTAATTTAAAGTGCATGCGATGTTAACATTTCTCGAAATTACGTTTCAATTAAATGTTACTGAGTAATACAGCTCATTTGGATTTTATTTTGTCTATTTAGGTACTGAAAAATATATTATTCATGCGAAAAAACAAAGTTGACGTTTATAGCTTGAAATCTTGTAGGCTTACAATGTTTTTCCGGACAGATTATTATTAATAAACATGTAATCAATAGACATTTTTCTATTTTACCTAACTTCGTAATCATCTTAGTTTCTGAAATGACAGCAATGAATTAACTCTATAATATACATATAATAGGGAACACTTAAATGAGAACCCGGAACAAATTCTGCCAAAATCATTATTTTATGATGGTACTAACTAAAAATAAAAATAAATTTTTGACAGCAAAAAAGTCGCAAAAAAAAGAATGAGCCATGGATTTTACGCTGCACATTTATGCAGGTGGTACGAGTGACTTTATACTATTAAAGATTCATACTGTTAATAGAACTTTTATCATTTGGTAAGGCTCAGAATTCGATAAATTTGTGATCTGTATTTAGTATTCACCACACTGTAATCAAAGATAGTACCGACAATACTCGTAAGTCAGTAACATCTCATTTTTTTGATAGTAAATTATCTTTTTCTTCTTTCCGTGTTTTAGTTGTTGTGAGTGATTGAAATATATAGTGTCGACAACAGTCATGGATTTCAAACTTGCGTAAGTAATATATCTTTCTTTCATGGACATTACTGTTTTTCTCATAAATAATTCTTAATAGTACGTAAACTAGTGTAATTCGGTGATGTCTATATTGATGTATTATTATCATGAACAATACTCCTACAACATGTAGGTATGTATGTTCCATGTTACTGTACGGTAATGCTAGGCGCTTGCACTATAGGCACGTATGTACTTCCCACTTATTACAAAAAGGGTCTACAAAAAACTATACAAACATATAGATGTTCAATATAATTTTAAATTTTGTTTTGTTTTGACTCATATTTATTATAATTTTATATGTACATACCTGAATTATCAAGTGGCGTTACATTATGATACTCTTCAGAGACGTTATCCGTAGCAATAGTCGTGGTAATAAAATTCGTTTCGGTTAACGGTTCGGTTTTGTTGCGAATAAAATATTCGTCGACGATATCCTTCAGTTGATTCTTCGTAATATTATATTTTTGCAAAATATCATCGTACTTATACGGATAATTGCACTTGCATATTTGACATCCTCGTTTGTTCAGTTTATATCCATCCGGACAAACTTTGCTACAGTTCAACGGCTGACATTCCGGTTTCTTTAGATGCCCTTCTAAAACCTCACACATGTGCGCTATGCACTTGGTTTCGCCGTTAAAGCACGTGCAGTTCGTGCAATTGTCCAACATCCATGATTCGTTGTGCTTGTATACTCTACCTTCCTTATGGCACAAATTAAAACTTTCGTCTTCGTTTTGCTTGTCGCAGAACGCAATACCTCTTTGACAGTTACACTTCTGCCCGTCAGGGGTTTCCCACACGCCTCCATCCCCGAACATGACATCACAACTGGACTCACATTTATATATATCACAGCAACTCCCTGGAAAATCGTTTCCGTGTTCCATTATCACAACCGTCTCGTTCGCTCCGCACTCCTTGTTCTTGCAAGGATAACAGACGCATTTGTCCTCGACAGCGTCGTCGTTGAGGTTCGTTGCAAAGCTGTCCTCCGGGCACTTGATGCATTTGTTTCTTGAGCAACATTCATCGTGTTCCGTGACGGATACGTAATTTGCGCCGCAGATTTGCGGCAATTCGCAAAGTTCCGGTTCGCAGACGCATTCGTTGTTCACAAGCTTTTTGTGGGGATCAACGCATTTGCACTCGCCCCTCGAATTGAAGATGGCGCCGGGCGCGCAAGGGCATTTGTCCTGCAGAAGGGTGTCATTTCCGCACCCGTCGCAACTGTAGATCGTGCAGCAGCTTCCGGGAGTGTCGGAGCCGTTTATGGCAATGTTCAGTTCATATTGACATATTGGTTTCTTACAAAAGGTCGGGTCGCATTTACAGGTGTCTTCTATTTGGATGCTGTCGTGTGGGCACGATTCGATAGGTGGAGCACCGTGTACATCTGCAAGAAAATAAGAATTGGGTAAGAGATGAGCATCTTCAAAAATATTAATAAAAATTGTATTTTATACACAGATGTTTCCAATGAAATATAGCCCTACTCTTAAATTTACAGCCCATAGTTAAACATACTATATTTCAAAAACTCATTTATAAAATTAGTTTAAATTTGTACGTAGATCGCAAGTTGTCCGAAAAATGTTACAAGTTGTTAAGAAAAAACAGTGTTTGCATTTTATGCATTCCTAATAACAAATAAAGTCGGTGGTAATAACTAATAGCACTTAAAATAGATGTATTTTTAGGAGAAAAAGGTAGGTAAAAATGCTTCTATCATCTGATGAGTCCATTGTGCCAACAAAATACTTATGTATTTCTTAACAGTTTAGATGTGGTTTGGTATTTGAACATTGATGAACACAGGTTTGCTTACTCCTACGGTTGGCTTGGCCCAGTGAACATTAATCTAACTAACGTATATTACAAATTTTACACAACAGTGCTTAAAATTTAATGAATGAAATTACCTTTAAATATCCGCAGCAAACCCAAAATAGAAGTTTAATTTTAGCTATACTATTAATAACCAGCTGGTTCAATTTTCTTAAAAGACTTTTAAAAATAATCAAGCGAACGAAGTTGATCACATTTTAAATCCCAAAAGAAAATTCTTTTTTTGACAACAATTTTTTTTTAGAATCAAAAAAAGGTCTCTGTAACGAGATCTAATATTTTTATTGTGCCTCCGGCCAGAAACAGTGGTGTTCCGAGTTTCTCTAGCAGTTGGGAACTCTCATTCCCGGACTACATCTAACGTAGGGATTTTTTTTTACGAATATCGATATGGGTTGGTATTTTAGCTTGTCATTTTATCACTGATAAGTGGATTCTCTGCTGCAGGTTTATACAATAAAGCAAAGCTTTTCTAAGTTTTGAGTTAAAGGTACATCTTCTATTGCTACTAGGGGAAATTTGTCTCATCATACTCACTAAAAATTTGATAAAGCCATATCAAAATTTTACTAAGTAAACTCTGTTTAAAAAGTTGAAAGTAATATACTTGTGCCCTGTGATTTATCAAGGCCTCATACATGTAGATTTTTGGAAAACAGAATAAAAATTATATAACAAAATTTTACAATGTAACTGAAAAACTATACTCTGGCGGTTTGTACACGCTTTAAGATTATTGAAACAGTTGAATGGCTAATCAGAATTAATTTGTACATCCCATTATCATCAATGTTGTGAAGTAAATCTCGCTGGAAATTTAGCTGATATGCTTTCTCATTTGTGGCCTAATAATGGCTTTATATTTTTCTAATTGTTGTTACAACTGTTACAATGTGTGCAACGAAAGTGAGGTAATTTGTTCACTCTAACTGACGTATGATGAAGTTAACAGCAAACTGTATTCAAACAGTACAGTACGCTCCTTTGCCTCTTTATTCTTTACCATGGATGCTGTCACGAAAAGTAAGTAAAATATCTGGGTCACATAGAATTTAAACGTCAATTTTTATTGAAAATTGTCTTTATTTCAAACGACTGGCTTCTCCATTGCAACGCAATTTAGAAATATAGCTTGAAAGAGATCAACAAATGTTTTTCAGTCGTTGCAATATGTTGATAGAAATGTTTCCCATTATGCTTACTACGTACAGTGCCTTGTCTTCTAGAAAAAACTTAGTGAGAATGTAATAAATGCATTTTCAATGGCATATTATATTCCATTTTGTGATACGATGCTAAGAATTTTTTTATTTTCTTGGCAAAGTTAGTTGGTTAAAAACTTTTTCGTTACCTGGATAAAAGCGATTCATGTTGCATTTTACATACGTCTGGGACCCAGACTTTAACTTAATTTGTAATTTCAAAGTTATAAAATAAACACCAAACTTTAAAAAAAAAAACATGAATTTTCTCTAATTCAAGTGTTAATTCCCAAACATTTAATCTAACAACTAAATCCACTAAATTAGCACAAATACGCGACAATATGAAGCTTTTGGTTCACACTAAAAAACTGACAAGTATTGTGTATTATAACAATCGCACAGTTTTTAGTTTTTCCATAAAATAATAGTTATGCTATCATGTCATGTTATATGATACCAATATTAAAGCAATAATTGTTAATTTGTAGAATGTATCAACCCGACATAACATAAATCGTTATTCGAAATACGAACGGTGATTTTTTAGTGTTGGATAGTATTTTTATTAAGAAATAAACATCATTTTGTTTAAAGTTGGCAAGTATTTTTACTTGCTTTAGAATAAAGTACAATGGAGTTTTAAACTGATCTGAAACGGACCGTTGTGATTCCAATTCAGAGTGTCAATCTATTTTGCTGTTTTGTTCACGCTGATGGAGACGTAAGACCGACCCAAAAAAGACACCAACAGTTTAAAAAGCGTTCAGATAAAATAAAACTGTCTTTGTTTGGTCCATATAGCCAAATTCTGTTTTGATTTTATCCGTAAGACTTGACTCACTTAGCTATACACATCTAACATAGTCTCGTCCTTCCAATCACTATAAGATTGAATATTGATGAGTAGCGTACCGTACAGACTGGATCAACATCAGGGTTATAGCTTAATTTATTATTAAAAATTGACCTAAAATGTGTAGTGTAGACGGTACTTCCCTCGTCCCAGAAACGTGACCATGTACTTCACATATAAATAGATTTTAATTTTGATTAGCGATCTATTAGGCCAATGTTAACTTCAAAGCGCGTGCCAAAGTTTATGGAAATTCTTTAGTAGTTTCTACGATAAATTGTAAAATTGTATTTTTCACAATTCAGATAGAATCAACTAAAAAGACTGGGCGAGCAATATAAGTTGTAATTGCGTCATAGACAATTTTTGAACAAAATTAATTTTAATTTCCTATAATTTTATAAACCTAACATTTGAAATAGATACATAAAAAGACAAAAACTACAACCCTAACAAACTAGTTTTTAACGGTCACATGAAACGTTCCTTCTAAGCTTACTTTTCTTGTTTTTTTCTTGTTTGTTGTTGTTTCTTGCAAACATAAATTTTAGATTACAAACAGTTCTTTTTAGAAACTAATTTGCGTATTCACTCAAAAATATCATTTCCATTGGAGTAGTAAGCGTTTACGGTTCAGTCTTATTTTCGAAATGGGCAGAAGGTAAACGGTGTGTGTCAGTACTCGATTCAAGCGGCTTGGGATAAAATCTAGGAAAAGTTTCTCAAAAACATCGTCGAGTACGCCCATTTTTGCAACTCATCATAACGAAGTGTCACAAAGCTACGAGAAACCTTGTCTTTGCAAAAAAGGAGGGAAGTGGCAAGTCGAAAGATAAGATAACTCCAGAAAATATTGGAAATGATATGTAATGGAGCACACCACTACAACATCCAGACGACATTTAGCGCAGCAAATTGAATTATCGTATGAAACTTGCCGAGTAATATTGCGAAAAGATTATCGTTGTCGGCTAATACATATGTGTGCAAGAATTAAAGTAAGCCGGATTTTCCAGCTAAGATTAGCTATTGTCAAAGAAAAAACCTTTTTTTACAGACGAAGGCTGGTTTCATTTGAGTGCTTACATGAATTCTCAAAATGTAAGATTGATATACCCTTACATACTTAAAAAAATGGGTTGCAAACTTTTTTGTGGCCCTGTCCAAAGAATTATTTATCGAACACCTGTCAACAACGTGGATGAATTAATAAGGTTGAGAATAACAGAAGAAACTAACGACATGACAATGGAGCTAACCGCAGAGCTCATTTATGTTTATAGCAAAATATGCAACATTTTCAGCATTTATTATAATTTAACATTATTTATTAAAAAAAAAAACTTTTCTACCGATTTTCCTTGTAATTGCACACTTATTTTACTAAAAATCTGATTAAAACGGGTTCCTCATCTCTGCTTTTACATTGGTCAGTTTTTAACATTTATCACTTTATGAGTGTGGTTTAATCATGACGTGTTAAATTCTTTCCAACGATGACTATTACAAATCATGCTGTTCGTGCGATAAAAAATATTTTTCAATGTATAAAAAAAGCCCTTAGGAAATAATCAGTTCGTCATCCAACGTAAGTAAACAAAGTTCGTAAATAAATAGGTAATTCGCATCATGATCTCAAAACAATGAATAATTTACCTAAAAAACAGGATGCCTAGAATGTCGCGAACGCCCTTAAGTATCGCGGATGTTGTTAAGTATGATGAAATGATTAAAAAATGTCTTCTAGGATTTTGGCGCAGATATCGGTTGTTCAAGTTGTTTTTTTTTTGGGTGTTTGTAATAACGCTTTCAATTAAATATTATCACAGTGTCTAATGATGAAACGTTTAGTTCGTAGTTCTGTTCCAGATGGTAATTACTATTTCCCTTGTAACAGACACAGTGCAAAGTCATGACCGTCTTATTTTTATATATAAAAAAATAATAAAATAAAATTCCATTTGGCAACAAGCTTTACCTAATACAATTAAAAGATATAAACGTTCTTACGGTCTTAAAAAATAAAAAGTTTTCATGCATCAGATGCATTCAGCGTTATTATGTATTATCTCAAAAATCTTGTTGATCTATACGCAATACCTTGTAACTTTTTAAAAAGGTAATCGACATTATTATTGCTATTTTAAGGAAGTTACTACAGGGATCTTTGGAAGGGTAAAATGGGGACTCCAGAAGCAACGTACCATATTTCCAAAATTTGCGCAAAAGCGTAATTGTTAGATTTAATATTTAGGTTTCTAAAAATTTAACCTGATTACCTCATCTTAATATTTGTTAAGTAAATATCATTTGTAAAATGCAAAAATTACATTTTCATAATTCATTACATTTTTAAAAAACTTTTAAATGTCGCTGTTTATTATTTTCCATGTTCTTTTCTTGTAATCCAGTTTTGAAAGATTGATAACTTATTACTGCCTCATTAAGTAAAGTTGGGGAAATACGGGTTGAGTGGCTTCAATCAGAAAC